TGAATGGTAATTGTTGGGTGTTTAGCGTTGTCGTACATTCGCGATCACGGCGTACCCGGGTTACAAGTCGATGTATGACTCGTGGTACTATAAATCGTTGCGCCCATAGCTCCTATTAGAATCCATTCACCCTTCATCGCTCTTCCCTCGCAACCGATACTCCAGCGCAAACATGTGCTCGATCTCTACCACTCTACTTCCGAACGCGTTCACTCGTCGCTCACATTTGATCATACGGTATTCAAAGCGCAGATATTGCTCGTGAAATTCTGCATGAACGTTCGTACGTCGATGTCCCGGCGGCCTCGTCTCTCCGGTTCAAATAATTACAGAAAAGAGACCGAAACATCTCCGTTCCGACGGAATTTCTTGCTAATTGGTGGCAATTAATTATGCCATTATTTCGCTGATTAATCTAAGCCGAGCCAGCCACGGCTCGGAACCATCTTTTTCACGGTGATGCATCGCGTTTCGTGCCTTTCTATCGCCGGCGAACAGGTAAAGCCGCGAGAACGATCAATCTTAGGAGCCGCGATTTCATTTCTTGCGAGACGGAAACTCGCCCGGCTCCCGCGGAATGAATTGCATATTGTGTTTCCGTTCGCGAAACGTGGAAACGTTTCCTTCTTCGCGACCCGTGCATTCGCACTTTTGGAACAGACACGCGTGATAGATTCACGGGAACGTCTGTTGAGATGCATTCCGCGAACGGGCTGAATGAAACGCCTTACGTATTCGCGGATCACGCCCGAACAATGATTTTACATCAAATGCCTTCACACCGGCTCGTGGCGAACGGGAAACTTCGTCGCGACGCTCGATATTCACTGAGGGCTGTTCGTTCGAATTACGCGATCCTTCGAGATTAACTTTTATCCAGACACATGGAAGCGAAACGTCGAGCTCGAAGTTCAATTCAGTCTTGTATCGCGCGTTCGTCGATTGTTTGCCATCCTCGTCTCGTACAATTAATACATCTTAATATTCTTAGGACGCGTATCCATGCATGTACTTAATTTCAGTTCCACTCCAAGGCATAAGCTCATTATTAATCGACATTTGGTACACTTACGCGTACGCTCTATCGTTTAGAAATTACCGCCACACGTGACCCCAAACTCCCCGATCCATGTATCACGTGACCACTCTCGAGATACAAATGACCGTAATTGGCCGCGAGAAACACAACATCGATACAACCACGATTTTCCACCCTCTCCGACTTTATTGTCAATTTTAGTTCCCCGTTTCTTATTTTATTCTCCATTTATTATCCATGTTTTAATACGCTACGCACACTTTGAATCATTTATATTCAATTTCCAGTACATTTGTTTTACGATGTCAGCAGTACCGTTTCCACGCGATCGTATATATGTACGTGAAATATCATCCACGTCTTTAAGCTCATTCCATGCACTTTATTCCTAATATTTGACTTTCTGCAAAATTTCATTCGTCTCTCGTGCCATGATTGTTTAAAGAAAAGTAAATTAAAAGTTGGAGCCGCAGAATAAACATTTCACGCGGACAGTTTTTAGGGGACCGTGGAGGACTGTCGCTCCACCGCGAACAGAAATATTTACCACTGTCGTTGAACGGGAGATTTTAATCCAGCGTAGAGGATGGATTGAAACGGGACGCGTAAACCGACGTGACCGATGGGAAATTTACACTGCATTAACCGGCGGTTTCGCGACGAAAAAAGGAAACGTTAGATTCGTGTCCTTCTAATTTACATTCCGTCGAGGAATAATGCATGTAATTGCATGGAGAGCGCAAAGAAAGACAGAAAAAGAGGGGGTGGAAACGTCAGAGCTGACATCGAGAATAAAATTTCAACACTGCATTCTTCGTTCGGGATTACAACGTTACTTTGCATATTTACATATTCAGATAGCAAGTTGCTTTCTTAACTGAGCACACGAAAGAATGGGCACCCGAAGGATGCATATCATTGCGACGCAAATTAATTACGAAACTTTGCGAAACGTTGCTCGGTATCGCGCGACGAGACAATGATTTTTCCGCGGTCCGGAGACGGCATCCGCGTCCGCTGTTGTATTTGTTCGCTGAAAATCCGCGGAAAACAGAACGTAGACTGACATTTGAAAATATCCCGGCCGAAATACGATATATCGTTTCGTATCGCGGAACTTGCTCTAACAGACGTCGTTCTTTCGCTGACATTTAGCCAGCAACGACGTTGAAAGCGGCAGCATTTTTCCTTCCGAAAAGCGCGAGAGCAACGACGACGCGTTTTGGTCGGCGGAAAGTTGAACGTTGCGAGCGGAACGAGATGCGCCGCGAGCGAGGAGGAAAAAAGGAAAATAATAAGGGAAGAAAATGGTCATACGGAGCAACGCGATGTCTCTCTTCGTGTCATCCTTTCGCCCGTATTCCGCCGTTCCACCTAAGCGTCGCGTTTCTTACGTTGTCGTGAATCGAGCGTCGTTCGTTATTCCCTAACGCGTCTCGTACGTTCCGAGTCGAGATGCAACCTGACAGCAGGTTTAAGCTATTTACCATCGACTTTCATTCTTTCTCGTTAAAATATCTCGTGTGCGTATACAGAGTGTTCGGCCATCCCTGGAAAAATATTAATGGGATATTCTAGATGCCAAAATAGGACGAAAACCAAGGATACTAATTTGTTGATTGAGGCTTCGTTAAAAAGTTAGAGAAACATTTCCGACCACACAGTATATTTTCGGCAAAGAATTTTTTTCTCAAAAGCACGTAGGATTTCGGGGGTATGTGTAGTCACCAAAAATGATTGTTATTGACCCTCACAACCGAAAATAATTTTTTCAGAACGATTTGATAAAATTAAAAATTTCAGTGAAACATATCGACGGTATGGTCAGACATCATATTTTCGGTAAAGAATTTTTTTCTCAATAGTGCGTAGGAATTCGGTGGTATGTCTATTGACCAAAAATGATTGTACTGGACCCCCGCAACTAAAAATAATTTTTTCAGAACGATTTAAAAAAATTTTTTTTCGCCAAAAAATTTCTGTATACTCGAATTTTTTTCTCGAAAGTCCGTAGAATTTCGAGGGTATGTCTATTGACCAAAAATGCTTGTAATCGACCCCCGGAACTGAAAATAATTTTTTTAGAACGATTTGAAATTTTTTAATTTAATTTTTTAATAACTTTTTAACGAAGCCTCAATCAACGAATTGATATTCTTGATTTTCGTCTTATTTTGGTCTCTGGAATCTCCCATTAAAATTTTTCCCAGGGGTGGCCGAACACCCTGTATACGCGCCTCCACTATGTCAAGGTACTCGAGAGTTTAAAAGTGGCGTACTTGCGACCCTCGTTTTACTTCGTGCTCCTAACGCTTTCCACTGCTATTACACCCGCACATATAGGCCGAGTTACTCGACACGCTCGTCTCGAATAAATCGTGGATTGCACGTTGTACCGAAAATTATTCCACGAAAAAGTTGCACGATTTCATAAAAGGCTATAATATCTATCATAAAATCTAATTCCTTTTGTGACAAATTTATTTAGAAATTCTATGTGTATAGTTTGCATACAAGGATCATTCGTAGAACGCATAATTTACAAGTTGCTCAAGGTGAGGATGTCAGACGATACTCCGCGTATAATCCAGGAAATTCTAAAGCAACGCTCGCGACACCTTCCGCCGAGAAATTTACAGTTTCGAAGATAGCCGGTTGAAATACAGTTCACTGGGCTAGCTAAGCGTATGTAGAACAAGGGAATCGGTGGAAACGCGAGGTCTTGTGGGATAAGGAGATGATTTCTGCCCTTTAAGAGGGTCCCTCGGAGTCCCGGGGGATGATGTTCCGTCGAAGCGCCTCGAGATCCCTCCCCCATCCCTCTTTCTTGCCGTGTCTGAGTCGGAAGACCGAGAGAAACACAGTAATGTCTGTCCATCTGTCAATCCTACCACCCTAGGCGTGCGTGTCTTCGATCCTTTTAACTCGCTAAGAGGACTCGAGTTCCTCCGCAAAAGCTAATCCGAACCAGACGCTGTAGAGAAGTCATGAGTTTTCTTTTAATTCTGAGATTGCCCCGCGACTTTCGTTTCGAGCGTATGAACGCCATCGTGATTCATGGATCCTCTTCGTCTTCGTTTCAACGGGAAGAAGAATAGACTTGCGCGAACCGAACGCTCGAAATAAATAAATATTTATTTAGTTCGGAATATGCAACCGCGACCGGTCGGTCTATCGATTTACACGCAGCGGCACGATATTTATTCCTTTTTCAACCGTTCCATAGGGCGATAAGCTTTTACCTCGTTATATTTTACTTCGTAATAATTGAATTTGATGTTATTTAAAATTTATCTTGGTTTACCCTCGCTGAAACGAATCTGGAAAAAGATCTATACGTCGAATAAATTCCCTTCAGGAAGTAAATGTAACTCTTTCCGCATTACTTTTATGTATCATCTTTATCTCGAGGGCCACGACACACCGCAAATTAAGGCAGACAAAATAATTATTCTCCGTTCCGTTCAACGTATGCCAAGGTTAACGTCGTGTTCGCCGATACAAGTAAGTGGCGTGGTTAATTTGGCGCGGAATGGCCCCTACGATTTTGGCAACTCTCCCCTATTTGGGGGCGAAACGGCAGATCGCGTTCATTTTCCATCGTGCACCGTCATCGGGGAAAGCACTCTGACCGCGGATCTTTTTCCCATTACAGAGATTCTCGGCAGGGGATTTCAATGATACGCGTCTAAGCTGAGGGGTGGCGGTCTGCGCGATCGGCGTGAGGTCAGTGAGGACGCAGCACCTCGTTTCTTGCGTGCACGGAGGATCGTGGGACGTTATCGCGCGCGGAACAGCGCCAGGCGAGTTGAGAGGAAAAACGCTCGGACGCGAATCGGGATAACGGCAACGAGAATGCCAGACAAAATCGAAGAAACGGATTTCCAGCCAGGTCGTCTAAAGATCTCGTAATTGGCTAGCGCCTCGTCCAGGAAGGGATTCGAGAACGGTCGCGATCGAAATGGAGACCAGGGCGAACGAGTCTCTGGTCGGGTCCATCGTGAGGAACTTGACGCTGAACCAAACGCGTCACCACGACCAACTCTTCCCCGTAACCGTCCAGGATGAGGAGAACGTCGTCTCGAGGAGCGACGAGTCGACCAGCGGCGTCGAGCTGGGCTGGTTCAACGACTCGACGACCACCGGTTCGACGTTCTCCGACTCTTGGTACGGCGCGTCGTCGTCGACGTTCTCGTCGTCGTCGCCCAGCTCCGACAATTACACCAGCATATCCGACCTGTTCGTGTTCGAAGATCTGAGCGACTACATAAATCAGCTGAACGCTTTCGTAAATTTGACGTACGCCGGCGGTGCGGGGGATTTAAATCCAAACGGAACCGTGAACTGCACATCGTCGATAGTCGCCGGTACCGCGGTCGGCGTCGTCAGGGCAGGCGAGTGCGCGCCGACGGCCGACGTCGACGAGAAAACGGACCCTAACAGCTGGTGGGCTCTGATCCTCGTGATCGTGCCTTGCTTGACCCTGTTCGGCAACGTCCTCGTCATCCTCGCCGTAGTTCGAGAGAGGGCCTTGCAGACTGTCACCAACTACTTCATCGTCAGTCTGGCCGTCGCCGATCTTCTGGTCGCCGTGCTCGTCATGCCATTCGCCGTCTACGTTCTGGTGAGTTAGATCTAAAAATTCGATTCAGAAAGTATTCACTTCGAAAGAGGATAACATGTGTTTCGTTTTTATTTTTGCTTCGTTTAACACTAGACTGCAATGTGTATTAAAATACCAAAACTTTAGACGCGTGCAGTTCCGAAACTGTTGGTGTTTTATTAATTATTAAGGCATTGTTAGAAGCGGTGAACCTTCCCCTTTAAAATGCTTTTTTGTTTTTGTCGATCGGACTTTCCGTTTTCGAGATATCGTAATTTATGTAAAGGGGTATTTTTCTTAATTTGACTATCGCTGTCTCCGTCAGACGCGTCGCGCCGGACCTCTCTTTCTCGCACGTGTCTCGTGACCGAGTTGGCCGAGTGACCTACTTTCTCCGAGTCACGTGCCGGTCAACGGCCTTGACAAGGCCGTAGTAAGAATGTAAACAAACGCTTCGGATCCTTATATCCCCGGAACTAGCCACCGCATCGACTTGAAATTAAAATCGCTATATCTCCGGAACTAATTGAGCTATCGACTCGTACAAACGCTCATTTTAAAGGGCATTTCATCCTCTATCCAATGACTATACCAGTTACTATCATTTATGTTGTCTTCTGTGTTTATTTTGATGTTTACTTTGACTCTACATACCCAAAGAAGTTTCAACAATTCCTACTTATCGTACGACTTTTTTAAAATAATTGTTTTCTCTAGAACTAACTACGGTTTCATACATAGTTCATTTAGTAAAATATATGAAATGATAACCGAGGAAGCCATTACTCTGCTTCGTATAATCTGGGGAAGCCATCAAAGAACGGAATAAAAATTGCATATTATATTAGAGTAACGCAGAAAATATTACGAATTTCAGTACTTTGATATATCAAATAATCGGATCCTCGAGTCCGACTTGTTCCTACGGATGCAAATATTTGTGTACCCGGATTACAAATTGTTCTCTAATTCGAGTATACTGTTATCGGACGAATCTACACGGCTCCTCAGGTTTCGCGTTCATAGTGATTCTATCGGACGCGATTGCGTCACGGTTCTTCCGTTTTCTATTAATTTGAAGCGTCTTCGGAACGTTGGGGGTCGCTAGGCGTGCAGAAGCGTATTTCATTCAGCGTTTATCCGAAGAATTTTATGGGTCGACGTTGCGCGATGGTTTCCGCAGTTAATTACGAACCTTTGTCCCGATAAAAAGCATAGTTGTCGGACGTTATCTTGGCGCGGTTAATGAAAACTGTTTCCAGATACAAACTTCTTTGGAATTCGCGAGTGAGCTTCCCGCGGTAATTAAAAGCTAGCATTACTTTCAGACTCGCGCCGTCCGAGCTTTACTTTCCGCCCGCAGTGGCGAAAAGTGGGGTTGGGCTTCATTATGCTCAATTTAGAAACGCGTAATATTTATTAAACGAGGCCTTCTACGAGCTTCCGTTCGCGATAATGTTTCCTTCGACGGTGTACATGGACGTCTTGTCCGTTGTTTTTTGCGATACCTAAGCAGGAACTCCATCTGGAGGGTTAATAGGATTGCAAAATACACGCAGAGTGATTCGAACAAAAATCCAACAAAAATCCAGCCAATTGTTCGCAAGGCTCGTTATCGAACAAACTATTGTTCGGCTCGGCTCACGACGCTCCCATAGTTGGAATTCGTCGACCAACAGAACAAAAACAGGATTAGTTCATTGAGCTGTTCATCGTGGATGTGGTGTTAGGCCATTTGTTGAGAGAATAAAGTTTCTACAGGCGACGCTTAAAAAACGCGTCGGATTTATCGAGGTAGAACTTTCGATGATACTTCCTTGTGAAATGTTTTTCTTTAAATTTAATTCGATCGACATTCAAAACTTCTTTCATAATAAGCGACCAAATTAAAGTGGTATGAGTAATTCTTGGAGTGACGGTTCTCCCGAATTCTGTGACAGCAAGTGACCTACTTCCTCTCGCAATGCTCTTGTCGTGTTACAACGCGACTGTCAAACGGACGCGTTCTGCCATCGAGTTCTTTTTACGGAAAGCCGGTATTTATTTAGCTCTCATTTCGTTTACGTTCGGAAATAAATTTCAATCTCATGGGAAACAGTACAATTCCCCGATGGAATTAGTTTCGCTTCATTAAGAAAATAATTCCGACTGTTCTCGCGCTCTTTACGAGCTCTCGTTTGTTTCTGATTAATTCGTTCGGAGATGCGCAGGCGTCTCTGCCCTCTAATATCGGCGAATTTCATTTTTCACTGGTTATTGCATCAACCGTTTAAAATTTACTTTGCGTTAAGCAAACATAAAACTTTACAGCATCGAGTAATACGCTGGCTCGCGGATTTATTCGAATCGATTGCTTAATACTTACGAAAATAATTACATATCGTGGTTCTCGAAAGGCTTTCGCTGGAACAGTAGTATACGAGTATCAAAATTATACAGAAATTCTTAGCTTCAATATACCCTTACGTCATTATTAATAATCTCTGTGCTTCCACGTCCAAATTTCATTACGTTCTTCTTACATAATGCAACTATGTTGTTTGAAGTATTAAATGTTAGGTTCAATACCGTTCGGATAGTATCGTGAGGCATTGAATATCCAGCCCGGTACTTACGTAACTCTGTTGCAAAGGGATTTCCCTTTAATCCACGTTTTCTCGTTCGCTGCGATAATATATCGACGATAATATCAATCACGGGTATCTTTAAATATTTGCAAAACACAAAACTGGTCATAATATATCGCAAAGATGAACGAAATTGTTCGATGGATACAGGTTCTTTCAACGTAAGCAGTTTTCCGACAATCGACGTTCTATTGTGTAGGTACAAGATCCTAACCGAGTTGGAAAACTGCCACCGTGGTCAGTAACGATTTTCCGAAAGTTTGTTATTAATTTAAGCTCGTCCCCTTCGATGATTCACGGTGGCGAGGTGAATAAGCAGCGCCCTGGAAAAACGTACGCTCTCCAAAAGTCGCAAGCAGTTTTCCAACAAAGTCGAACTTTCCGGTAAGGTTGACTCGGGCGTTCGATGCAAACTTTTCCCACGGAAGAAGATAATAATTCTATGATTGCAAAGAGGGAGGAGAAAGAGGAGGAAGATTCGGATTGAAGGATCGTAAAAACGATGTAAAAGTTGAATTTCTGGCCACGGAGTTATTCGCATTCTACCCGTATCGTACGTTTTTATGATAACTTTTATCTAAGCCACTCGAAATCGCGGCACGACCAAAACTCGCCACCCCCGGCTCGATTTATTCGCCCCGCCGAATTTAATACGGAATCGCGAGCTGATAACTTGACCTCCGCGTCAACGAATCCACTAAATTCGCTTCTTCGTTCACAAATTTCTTCCCGGATCGTACCTTCCTCTTTCCGCGTCTGCGTATTTTTTTAGATCAAAATTTGCATGCTACTGTGCAGAATGATTTTGGAAATTGGGGCAAGCTGCAGCTCTTTTCTAAACGAAAATATAACAAATTCATAGAGAAAGTAGAATCCTCCATGTGGGACCATTTTTGGACAAAATGTTTTCGTTCGATCCAATGGTACATGTGCAATATGAATTTATATTCCCGTAGGTATACAAATGTACGATGTTTAACCATTTTATTAGAAACGCATTGTACATCTTTCATAAAATATTCCACACCATTCTCGTCGATGTAAATGTCCCACGTTATTTCGCATTCTAGGACTGAAATGAATTTCTGTCATTTTCAAGCGATCCTTTTATCAATGTTATCCCATCACTGTCGTATTGTGTACTGATATTTCCGAGTCTTCGCGCGATATGTATATCCCAGTCGAATGTACGACTATCTATTTATTCTGTGCAATCGCGAGCGCACTTAATCACTGATTATTTCGCTCGCGGAAAAGGTGTGCTCTCCGCGAGAATTAACGAGCCCCGTGCACGGTAAGTGACGTTTTTAATGCCGGATACATGCACTGTTGGAATCGTAGATGCCCTTTTTCCTTCGTGTAATCCGTGATCGTTACAAACGCGTCCCGTATCGACAGGTCGAAAATCCACGTAACAGAGATATCATTTTGCGTGTCACGAGAACTTACGCCGCTTGACCATTACTGGGTACCGTTTTGCAAGCACGTCGCACACGCACGTCGAAACACAGTCATTGTGCGCGCACCGTTTCCCTTCCTTCGCACTAATTAACCTTTTATAGGAACAACAGCAGAGTGTAATTTATGAGTACGAGTATAATTTATTCCACGCAACTGACATGAAACGTAATGACCGTTAAATGGGCGACCCTTGCTACGTGCACGGGGCATGCTAATATTGGCGATTTGTCGGGAAAAGAGCGAAAGTAAATGTCATTGTAGTCGAAATTAACCAGTTACGAACCCATTGTAATTGGAATTGTTCTCCAAAGGCTCCAAGGGCCGATATCCCGATCGAGCTTATAACTTTCTGCCATTAAATTAACCTCCAGAGAGTTCCTGATATTCTGATAACTAGGCGTCGATGTTGATCGAACGCGTTGCTCATTTGACAGGGTTTCATTTTATGCAAACGTTAAGTGGATCGGTGGAACCCTTATAACGATAGATTACTCGACATTTTCCATCTGCTTGAAAGATTGAGCAAATAATATCCTGTTTTGTCTTAAATAACGTTGTACGATTGAAAACAAGAGAGTTTGATACCACCTAAGTGAAATCCCGTCTATTATGGATTAATTAATAACGTTCCTTCGACGTCGAACAGCGCAAGATGGTCAAAGCGTTCGAGATGATAAAATCGAGACGTCGGGGGTTGGATATTAACGGGATGCAGCGTACTAAAATCCCTCGTCGAACGCTTAAACGATCGTTCGCAAGTTTCGCATTAAACGGTTTAGCGACGCGCGTGTGCGCGCTCGTAAATGCGTCGCGACGATAATGTCGCGACGCGAGCGTCGTGCCACAATCGAAGCACTTTAGTCAGGTGCCAGCGTTGAACCAGCGTTCTAGAGTTATTCCCTCCATCGGCGAAACATTGGAAACGGTTGCTCG